CAACAAGTCCACATAGAAGAAGCACACCACCGATGTGATCATGAGGAATCATAGGGACCAGGTATCAGCAGACACTTAACAAACAATAACCAATTGTTGAGACTGAGGGGCGTTGGAGCACAGATCCAAAGCCCATCTGTCAACAACAGAACAATCCCTCCACAAAGGTGCCACAGGGAAGGGATGAGTCACCAGGGCACAGTAAAGCACCTATGAAACACACAATATTCCTCTGGTTCTTGAGGCGTCCTCACCCTCCACTACCATGACCCCAGTGCTGCTTCTCTATTCAGACTACACCAGAACATGTGCACAGGTATAGAAAGGGATGGGAGCTCACGACACCCAGAATCCAGGCACAGGAGTGGGAGTGGAGATACCAGAAGGGGAAGAGGGGGAGGGAGAGAAAGGAGGATCACAATGGCAATACCATATAACCCTCTCCAGGGGGAAGCACAACAGAAGCATGGGGGAAGGCAGACAGCGGTCAGTGTGAGAGATGAAAATAAAAACAATGGACAATCAATCTATCAAGGGGTTACTGGGGGTGGGGAGAGGGGGAGCTGGTACCAAGGGCTCAATAGAAGGTAAATGTCTATAAAAGAATGAAGACAACATATATACAAATTTGCCTGATGCAAGTGACGTATGGATTGTGACAAGAGTTCTAAGAGTCCCCAATACAATGATTTTAAGAAGAATTTAGCTTAGCTCGTGGTATCAAAACGATCCAGAGAAATGGCCAGTCGGTGACACACTGCGTGAGCGGCTAACAGCAAAAAAGCGCCAATGAAATGCATGCAGGGCAAAGGCTGGCTCCGTCGAGGCCCCTCCACAGGCTCCGGCTCCATGGTAAAAAGGCGTTCCTTCCCCAGGACTTACTCGGTACAGGATGGTGTTGGGGTACAGGGCAGGAGCGGGCTCTGATCGCCTCCGGTCTGGTCCGCTAGGGAATACTTAATATTTGTGTATTCGTGTCCTTTCCTCTTGCTTTTCTGAAAGTTGAAGATGGCAAGTAAAAACATGTCAGTTGGGGGTTTCACTTTTAAATGTTTTAAGGAATCAAGCAGCCGAAGCATTGCACTTTAAAAAGGAGAAACTGTTGCTGGTGCTGCTCCCACGGTGGAAATGGGTTAGAAAGTCCCCTCCACGTAAACACCCTGTGGATGAAAAGTACTGACGTGTCAGGCAGATCTGTCAGAGGGGCTCTTATCAGGATCGTGAATTCGAAAGCCTCGCTGCCATCAAGTCCGGCCCGACTCCTCCTGACCCCGTAGGACACATACAACTGACCCGTGGGTTTTTGAGACGAACTCTTTTCACAAGCAGAAAGCCTGACTGTTCTTCACTGAGTGGCTGCTGGTTTTGAACTGCTGACCTTTCATGGGTTATCGGCCAGCCTGGGGGAACACTTAATATCCACTCTTACCACCACCACCCCCTCATCCCTGGGAAAATGCCCTGGCATTTTTTAAACTTTTTTTTTTCTCTCATGACACTTTAGGGTGGGCAATTAAAAAAAGAAAAAATAATCCCATGGGAATAGGATTCATCTCAGACACAGAGTGAACTGCCCTTAGCAGGGGTTAAGGTTAGGGTAGCGGTTCTCAACCTGTGGGTCGTGACCCCTTTGGGGGGTCAAACTACTCTTTCACAGGGGTCGCCCGATTCAAAACAGTAGCAAAATGGCAGTGATGAAGTAGCAAGGAAAATCGCTTTACGGTTGGGGGGTCACCACCACATAAGGAACTATCTGAAAGGGTCTCGGCATCAGAAAGGTTGAGAACCGCTGGGTTAGAGGGTTTTCATCCGGAATCCCTCCAGACCAGACACAGCCAGTTCTGAAAGTCTCATCTATCAAGTGATCATCATTGTATGCCGCTGCCTTCAATACGGGATGCGGCGACTTTCCACTTCAGAGAGTCCCAGGCGTGTGGGGCGCTCCCTCAGCGGGGAGACCCGTGCACAGTGCCATCACTTTGGGGAGCGAGGAGGCATGGTCAGTTCGGGTCTCAGGAGCCCTGTCTCGCGGTGGTTACGGGGTGTGCTGCAAGCCCCAAAGTCAACAGCAGCTTGAAATCATCAGCCACCCTGAGGGAGGGAGAGAGGACTTTCCACTCCCTGAGAGGGCAGCCTCAGCCCCGCTCGGCCCCACATGGTCGCTAGGAGTCGGAATCGAGGATGGCAGTGAGTTTGGGAGGTTTATTTAGTGTCTAGTAAACGTGAGAAGCGACGTGTCGAATAAAAGTCCACACATCTCTGGCACCTCAAAATCCTAAGTGCCCTGTCGGAGGTGCCCACGGGGAGAGCCGAGGCCCGTGACACAGTCTGTCTGTCGTGAAAAGACCCGCAATCAGAAGAGGCCCCGGTTCCTCAAGCCGAGTTAACCACCAGGGTCGGGCTGAGGGGACGACAAGGACACAGTAGGGTACTACTTGGGTAGACACCTGGGGCCTCTAAAGCAACTCGCTGTCGTGATTACAGATCGCTGCATTTGGGATTTTGGACTGCTAAAGAGACCCCGGAGAACCAAGGGTGGCCTAGTGTTGCATGGGCGGAGACGAGGGGTGGAGCATCCAAAGGAACCTCGGGGGACTCTGCTGACCTTTCCTTCCTTCCTTTCCTAAAAGGTGAAGGAAATTGTGGCAGAAGAGAATGGTCCATTACAGGTTCACTGCTGTTTGCTCTTCACAGGAGGCTTGGTGGCACAGAAGTAAAGCGCTCCACAGCCCAACCAACGGTCAGCTGTTCAAACCCACTGGCTGCTCCGTGGGAGAAAGAGGTGGCCATCTGCTCCCGTGGTGTTTTCGGCTTTCCCAACCCTGTGGAGCAGTGCTACCTTGTCCCATAGGGTTCCCGAGCCAGAATCCACCTACACAACAGGTCTGAGGTGGTGCTTGTCAGTGTTACGTGCTGTCTAGTCGGGTGAGGAGAGGTGGGGGTGTTTGTTTGTTTGTTTGTTTGTTTGTTTGTTTGTTTGTTTGAAGTGCTCCAGGAGGTTTTCTAGCCCATGATCTTTACAGGACAAACTGCCTGGTCCTTTTCCTGTGAGGCCGCTGGAGGCCTTGAACCTCCAACCTTTTAAGCATGAACAGCCAGCTGGGTCCTTGAGCATGCTGCCACCAGGGCGACCTGAATTATGGACATGATGCTCGGTTTTATTTTTCTAGTTTTTAAAATAAGGGTTATTAAAACAAAATAAATTTACATGCAAAAATTATTTAAATGGCATTTTGGGGGGTACACCTATTTATCACTGCTAAATAAAAAAAAACCAACAAAACAAACTGCTCAACTGCACAGGGGCTTCCAAAAAATTGAGGATTCCATTATTTTTATCTCCCTTTCCCACGAGCTTTTGGAAACCCCTGGTATTACACCTGGAGCCCCTGGCAGCAGAGTGGTCATGACCGGATCAAACAGCGCAGGGTGGGTACAACAGTGAATGCCACTTGTTCACACAAATGACCCAAGTTCACTTCCACTTAAGAGTGATGAACCGAAGCAGCAGTTGATGGTCTTTAAGGAAGCATTGGGAGGTATTGGCACCCCTAAGTCTACTGGCTGAATTCATGAAAGTATGCATACAAGCACTCTTGGGGAAGGGATTGCCAGGGACACCCAGGTTCTACATTCTATAGTCTCTAAGAATAAACTCATAGGAACAGGTATGTGCTTTTGCTTTAAGCGGAGAAGAAGAGTGGCAATAAAAGATTTGTTTTATTTTCTAAGTTGTTCCTAAATCAGCGTGGGGGTCAGAGAGGTCATAGATGGTCAGCAGATGAGAGCTGGGAGGGAAAAATCCCCCTAAATTCTCCAAAACAAGAAGTGAGAATGAAACAAAGCGATCCTTTCCCCCAGCTTTTCCAGGCCAGACTGCATTAGGGGTTCAGGATTTTCCCAACTTGCAGCCACGGGACTACTTTCCCTCTGTCCATCTTAGAAGGCCTTCGCTCTGGGCAACTGCTTACTGTACACACTGCCTGGCCCTCATCAGGTCTAGCCGAAAGACACTCATAAAACAGCCTGCTGGTGCCCAGCACTCAACGGGAAGACAAATCAAGATCTAAAGTTCTGATGCTCAGATCCGGTAGCTTGTCCACTATTGGACCTTCTGTTTCTATCCTTAAAAAAACAACCACCAAAAAGGTCTTGGAGAAGGTACAGCCAGAGCGCTCCTTAGAAGCGAGGAAGGCGAGACTTTGTCACATATGCTCTGGATATGCGATCGGGAGAGACCAGTCCCTGGAGGTCAGGCTTGGTGAGGTAGAAGGGCAGTGACAAAGAGGAAGGCCCTCAACAAGATGGTAGGGCACCGTGGCTGCCACCATGGGCTCACCCATCAGAGCAAGGTGAGGATGGCGCAGGACCGGCGGGGTTTCGTTCCCTGGTACGCAGGGTCGCTATGGGACAGACGGTTCTGACTGGACAGGACCCAACCACCACCACCAGTTTCTATCCACACACTGTTTCTGCGGATAACACTTAGAGGGCAATCTACTACGCAATTTTGCATGAACCAAGGCCCTATTACACTGATGAACGGCTACCTTACTTTGGCTAAGCGAGCCTTGACAATGCGGCTGCCGTTCTGCTAGACTAGCCCAGCTTCCTGGAACGCAACCAACAGGGTGGTAAGGAGGCAAACTCCACTGACGTCTCTACACTATTCCACCTGCAGTGGAGCACACTGGGGCGAGGGGGATGGGGGTAGACACCCCCCGCCAAAGAGCAGTTCTCACTTGCCCCCTCTTCTCAACATATCCCCCTTAACTCAGTGTCTTGTCAGCTAGGAATCGTTTCAGATAGGGAAGCTCCAATCCCATGTTTTTCATTACCCCACCAGCTCATTATTAACATCAGAATTGTATCGCCTAGCGGGTGGCCGTTCCCAGGGCTGTTAGGCCCGGGTGTTCATTTTAAGAGATGGGATTGGGATAAAGATGGCCTAGATCAAAGGCAGACCCGGCTGGGAACTTGGGAGGACTGGGAGTTTGAAGCCGGTTGTGGGAACCTGGGGGGGAAGAGAGGCCCTTCGGAGACCTGGGATGCAGCTGGGATGTCTGCCCAGGATCCCCGGCCCAGGTGCTGAGAGGCTGAGACCCGGAGCTGTAAAGCTGTGATGGGTAATTAGTTCTCAGAGGGGCCCTCCCTCCTGGCTGGGACCTTTTTTTCCGTTCCCAGGAAGGCCCTCTATCCGACCATGGCCCCGGCTTACAAGGAGGACAGTCTGGCTGCCCCGGCTACACGCTCCCGGAAAGACAGAGCGGAACCCCAGTCCCGGCTCGTACCTGCTCTTCTTCGATCCTGCGCTGTAGTGTTTCGATATAATGCTGGACGGCCATGTAGATGAACCGGTATTGTGCTTCTGTCTGCACCATCCCTGACCTCTGGGAACGCACCATCTGGATGGTTTTGGGCACATCGATGTCGCAGTCAACGCCTGCAAAGAAAACCCGGAAGAGCGTCAGGATGGAGTTGCCTCTCATGCAGCTCTGGCAGCCCCGGAGAGGTGATGGGTCCAGAGGACAATGTCCTGATGGACTGTGCCCCAGCGCTATAGCGCTGGACCTCTGACCGGTGACCCCAGAAGATGACAGGGTAAAAGTCAGAGGCCAGGACTCCTACACGCTCCAGTTGTACTGCCTCCCACCCTTTTTCTGCACCCCACCAGCCTCAGGCAGCGACCACCACAGCATGCTGGGCAACAGGCCAGAGCAGTGGTGTCCACAGCTCCTGGGCGTCACCGACTGCCCAGAGCTCACATGACGGCACTGCTTGTCCCTGCCAAACACACAGAAAGTTCAGGGCTGTGGCTCGCCATCAAAGGCTTCCCCCGCAAGCTATTTCCACCAACGCCTTCGTTCCAGAAGCTAAACCCGGAAAGGCAGCTAGCTTCTCAGCCTCCGGAGGACCTACCTTTCTCTCTGATGATGTCAATGAGGATGTCGATCACGATGAAGGTCCCCGTCCGGCCGATCCCAGCACTGCGGGCACAAGGACAGAGGGCCGTGACAACACTGCCACCCTTGGAGGTGCCATACTCAAACCCAAACCAGGAGTGTCGGCAGCAGCGGGGTAGAACTGAGCAGGGTGTGCCTTTGTTTTTGAAAATGAGCCAGCAAAGAACTTGGGGCTTCGGAGTCCTCTGGGGAGACTCCAGCCTCCGAGTCAGGTGGCACGTTCACCATCTCTGCCATGCTGGGGTCCGTCTCCTTGGTAGGAGGAGAGCAGCAACAAATGCCCTGGACCGATCAAGTGGCACACCGGTCTAGTTGCCCAAGCTGGGGGTGAGCTGTAAGAAGCCAGGCTCAGCCCAGTCTGGGGTGGAGGCCGAGAGCACGGCTTCCCTCGTAGCCCTGGGCGGGAAGCGGTTCGAGGCAAACCAACGTCGTGGCGGGGAGACCTCAGCTCTCTTACTTCCATAATCAAAGCAATTAATCCTAAATTGCTAATGTGAAGAGAGACAAGCAAGCAGAAACTGTGTCTTGAGACGAGATGCTGTCCCCACCCTGGCCCTACACGGGGCCACAATGGCCGCCTGTGCAGGTAGCCCTGGACACAGACGAGGCTTCTCCTACGAAACAAGAGGGGGCCGGGCCGGTCACCTGCAGTGCACCACCACGGGCCCCGCGTCCACGATGCTCTCCTGCTTGTGGTGGACCTCCTCCAGGAAGTCCAGCACGCCGCCGGGGTCGCTGGGCACGCCGTGGTCTGGCCAGGTCCGAAAGTGGTATTGCCAGACCGTTCTCTCCGTGTTCCCCTGGAGTAGAGCCAAGAAAAACCAAAAACGAATTAAATAAATCAGCGGTTGAGGAGTCACCCGGTTATGCTCTTGCCTAGGTCCTCCATGAGCCAGTGGCGCCAGCGGGTACCGGGGGGGGCTCCTCGGGCTTTGGGGTGAAGCCCCCCTTCAAGGGGGTCTCCTGTAGGTCTGGCCGGGTGCTCCCGGGAGTGGTTTTGTCACAGAACCCACGATGCGGTTAGGACAACTTATTCTTCAGGAGACTCGAACCTGGATCATCTGTCTGTGCCATCCATAGTGGTCTTCATCCAAGAGGCTTCTGGGGATGGGGGTCTCCTCTCACCACAGGACACACCTGTTCCTCTTTATATCTTT